TTCGTTTGTTTAAACTTGATGAATTATTAATGAGTTTGAGAACTACCGATATTCCCTGGTGTATCAAACCATGATACTAGAAAATATTAATGAAATATACTCACAGGACACTATGTTCCCATAACGGTTCTTAGCTCTGTTGTTCTTGCCGATTTCCCAGGAAAACTGCAAACCTCCTGGTAAATTCTGCAAGATTGAAATGCAAGTTTTACTACACTTTTACCATATCTTTTTACACAATTCAAGGCAAATTTCACATAAAATCCTCCCAAAACTACTTGAAAAGTGCAGCCGCGGGTTTAGCCTAGTATTCAGGAATTCTTTACTTTATTATCAAGCATCCTGTTACAATCTCCCAGTTCCAACGTCTTTGACAAAAAGATAAAAGAAACTTTAAACAACGTTGGCTACATTTACAAATTGAGGCATCATCAGAAACAGACATTTACGTACATTTACGTAAATCTGGCAAAGTAAGGAAATGATTAATTTGCCAGAACTGTTACCATACCTTGGGTAACTTTGGCAAATATGAAAGGAATATTACGTTGAATATTGTGTTTTGAACGTTAATTTGACGGACGTTTGTTTGAATACGTAGCAAGTGTTGTCGCGTCTTTACGTGAAGCAAATTTTGAATGCATAGTTATTACTTACTTCATGCTCTTCCAACATATAAGACCTTAAGGTGTTAAAAAAAACATGGCCTTGGTTTCAAAACTTTTGGGTGATTTTCTACAACTCAGATGTACAACACGATTTCCATAGGTGATCATTGTAATCAGTTATCATAAGAAAGACAACTTCCATACCTAATTGGAATAAGTTTACAATAGTTGTAACTTCAACAGTTTTAAGAAGCCCGACAACTTTACTTAAAAGTTATTACGAATAAATTTCCTGTTAGATAAAAGCGGTCACCAGAATAACGCTAAGAAAGTACTAAAAGGGAATGCATGTTAAGTTAGTTAAATGATTTATTACCTTAAATTCCTCTCGCAGCACAATTGCTCCATTCTCTGACTTGTTCCTGTAGTATCTCGCAAACTCAGCCACAGGAATTGGTTTGGGTTTACCATCTTCAGCCTCGCTATAGATAGCTTCTTGCTCCTCAGGGGGAGGTACTTCCTTGTCAACAGCTAAATAAAAAGTAAAGTAGATCAGGAAATTAACGCACACGTGTATGATATAACTAACAGGTGTTAGTATCACCCAACTAGTGGACTAATGCAAATCCTGCATTTTAATTGGCTACGCTACTAGTTGACTACTAGTAATAGTCCTTGAGTAGCGAAATTGGTGCAATAGAGCGTGACGCTTTCTTTCGTTTTATTCCAAAATAAATATTTCTTCAACTTGCATTTGCTAACTTTATTATTGCCTTTTCTGTTCGATTAGTTGGGTGATAATAAAACAATTAGACCCTTCGCCCTCAAGAGCCACGGGTCAATGTGCCATGAGGCGAAGCCAAATGGGCTATTGACCCGTGGCCTGCTACGGGTCTATACAGAGTCTATACGGGTATATATAGAGTTTACATGTTAGTGCCTTAAGACCTATAAAACATCCCAATAGTGCACTCTGCACTAAAAACGCCACAATAGAGCAATTTTATTGATACACAGCAAGAAGATTGTAGGGCCGTGTCATTGTGTAAGACAATGTGTAAATATAATTATGAAAAAAGTGTGAAACCAACAGATATAATATGAAACCAACATATCACACTTAAAATCTCAAAATGGTGGAAGGCTAGCCAGTTGGCAAGGATCAATCTAGTGCCAGGCAGGAGGATTTGAACCCTGGACCTCCGGATTACAGGTCCAGTACTCAAACCACTACCTGGCCATACCGCCTCTATGCTATGATTGTGAAAAAAAGGGCAGCTGTTATGGTCAGTTCAGGTATTAGAGGATGATTATGCATATTTAAGTTAAATGATGCTACCCAAAGTTCATGAGAAATTACACAACCAAGAAAGACCAAACTGAAGTGCTCAGAGAATTAGTATTAAGGATTTGCCAAGGCAAAAATATTTACAAATGACGTACTAAATATTATGTATATTGAACTATTTGCAGGGAAATTAATTTTATTCTTATTTCTATGCAAGATATTTTACCTTTTGCAGGTTGCTGGAGTTGAGCCACATTCTGATAGACCAAATTTGATGTACTTGCAGTCAAATCTGGTGAATCATTTTTAAGCTCATCAAGTTCAACAGGAGTCCTTCTAGCTCTGTCGCGTGTTCTTTCTGACTGCTTCCTCCTGATTACAAACCAACACAAAATACAGCGTAAGCTGTTTTTAAAGTTAAAAATATAAATAGAAAGAAATTACAATATTTAGAGAGGAAGCCACATCAGGCTTGGCTGGTTTTCATGCAGGTCCTCTATCCTCGTCGAAATGGAATTTGCAGATGCTGGTTCTTGTGGACAACTCAACCCACATATGGCACCAGGCCGGAATTGAATTTGGGCCATGATGCCTACTTGACTGCGTATTCTACTGGAAAATTCATCTAGCCAAATAGGAACAAGTCATATGGGTACACAAATGTGTGGGTTTCTGGAATAAAATCCGTTTGGACATCAACCTAGGTTACGTGAATTGATTTTACTGTACTCAGCATGGACAAGGCTTGACCATGTGGAGAGAAATGAAAAACTTGCCACTAAAGGCCAAGGCAAAAACCAAAGGCTGTAGTAAAATGTTGAATACTGATGAATAATGTTTACTAACTTGTAGAGCCTGACGTAATGCACATACACACCGTTCCAACATTTAAACAGACATAGTTTGTTATCACAGATCAGAAGTGTAAAAATGTGCGGCATAAGCTATAAGGTGACTCAGGATTCTTGACTTCACCATGCATGAATGAGATCTCTTCCACTCATAACAAAGCACTCTTGACACACGAAACAAATAATGAACACACCTCCGATACCAAAACACTGCAACTACAACTGCTGGTATAATAAGTAGCAACAGGACCACAGGTACAGCTATAGCCGCGGCATTAGGAGACCCCGAACTCTTGGATTCTTCTGTTGCTCCAACATCTTCAACAAAAATAAAACAGTTAAAGCCCCAGTAATAGTAAGATATATGGAAAAGAGCCCCGATATAACAAAACCTCAATAAAGCGAACATGTTTTGCCGGTCCCTTAGCCCTTTCTTATATCGAGTTTCCACTATAACTATTTTTTTCCCAAAACCAATATGTATTTTTACAAGTTGGGTAGAAGGTAAGTAGTGCGAAAAATAAATATTTTGGTGTTGCTTTACAACACTGATTGATTTTCAGAACTTGAACCACAATTAACCAATAAGATACAACATGAGACCCAACCGCAACTTTGTGAAATACAATTGAACTGATATGTTTTCCTGCGATTGGAAACAGAAACCCATAGGGGTTTCTTTCAACACTTATCTATGTGAACTAGATTGATTTGTTATTGCTTCATTGTTTCATTTACGATTGTTGTAATGAGCCATTTTGGTTTCACAATTCTGACTAGAAATTCATCGCTACATATATACAAGTAAATCCTATGCATAATGATTACGAATGCTTACCTTTGGAAGTGACAGAAATTTTGGCAACCTTGCTGGGAACTCCAGCCAAAGTCCCCTGAAAAAATGTACAATATGACAAAAGAGATATTAGCTTTTACTTCAACCTTTCAGTGCTGCAATCAATGCAGCGACAGCATTTAAATCACTGTGACTAAGGTTTTTTCTACAAGGAAGCAAATAAACAATTAGTGGTAAAGTAAAGTAAAGTTACAAGACAAGCAGGACTGAGTGGAACACTAACGATGTAAGATCCACTCATGAATAAAATAAAAGAACAAAAGTTTTCTTCAGATTTTAAAAATATGTATCTGAATGTGACATTTTACATATTTAAGGTCACATGCAATACTAATTAGGCCTAATATTGTATCATTTGTATCTCACTTTAAAAATATATGTTGACAATTTCAGCTCTACATGCACTGCAAGCACCAATTTTGTTTATAATTTAAAGAAATATTTCTCCTCTCCATCAATCCATCCATCCATCAATAATAATCAATCAATCTTGATCAATCAATCAGTCAATCAATCTTTATCTATAGAGGGTAACACCTAATAGTCAAACAACTAATAATTAAAAATCTATTAAAAACCTATGAAAAATTATTTAAAACCTACTGGTAAATAGAAGTCGAAAAATGTATGCAAAATTAGCTAAAAGGTAAATTCATACACATTTGATTGTCATAATTATTAACTTGCACATCTTTACCACCTCTGCAGGTACTATTATTAGGCTATATCATGACTCACAACATGAGCAGCTCTCAGTTGGCTTGATAGCGCAGTCGGAAGAGCACTGCACCAACATCGCAGTGGTCATGGGTTTGGATCCCGTTGAAGCCAAATTATTATTATTATTATTATTATTATTATTATTATTATTATTATTATTATTATTATTATTATTATTATTATAATCAACCTTATTTATTGAGGGTAGCACACAACAGTAATAACTGAAAAAACCAGTAACCCTTGTATAAATATTTACAGAATAAAAATGACATGTTAAAAATTAAAAATACAGAAACTGATTCTCAAATATGCAACGATTAAATAGAAAAATGGATGGGTTACGTTTTCAAGTGCTCAACGTGCATACATAACTGAGATGACCCCTTCTCTTTAAATCTTTCTCCTGCATCGCAAATATATGATTTTCATTTATTTGTTACAGGTGTTCAAAAGATAATACATCGGAAATTAGCTGATTTACTTACGTCATTTTCTCGGGTCACAGCTCTTTGGAAGATGACATACGCTTCTCCTCTTTCAAGTGCTTTATTAACAAAACCTTCATACGTCTTGTCATCACCAACAGTAAATTCCCAAGATTTCTGGTACACGGGAACATTTTGAATCTCAGCAGTAATGTAAAAGTTCAGGTTTTCTTTGTTGGCGTTATATGAATCGTTCAATTTTGAATCATAATCGTCTGGAAGTTTTTCTGCTCCACCAACAACTTTCAGAACTATAACTTGATAGGCACTGAAATGCAAGNAATAAAAAATAAAAAATAAAAAATAAAAACAATATCAATAAAAGAAGAAAATAAAGGACCCTGACAGTAAAACTGCTCTACACTTGACGCCAACTTGTTTTTTTGTTTTGTTTTTGAAGAAAGCGGTGTTGGAAATTGAAAACAACTTCGGAAGTCCGGGCACGGTGGAGTCTTCAGCTCCTTTCACTTGTCAAAGCTATCTCTTCAGTCCGATACCCGTTTATACATAATTTTCTTGATGAAAATAGTATTCAGTTTGGCAGACATTGGACGCATGGTAAAACCCGTACAGTCAAAAAAATCAAAAAATCAAAATAAAAAAAATAGAAATTCGCTCATAAAATAACGTGTAAAATAGGTTTGCCACCAATAATTATACGAAATTAAGGAATCGCAAGGTGACGTAAACAGGGAAAACACATAATCACATATTTGGTTACGTACAGGATTACGTAAGGCAAGAAGTTAGGTAACTTAAAAAAAGAATCAAATAAAAGTTATCACAAGTGAGAAGATACACTTCCAAAGGTCTGATAATGTCATTGTCTTCGAAGGAATTAATAGCATATGAACGTGTGAGCTAGATAAAAGGTACGTTGTTTATAGCTGTCAGCCACTTGTCGTGAAAAACACTCACATGTCTCATATTAAACGATCCAGGCATGGGATCTGACTCGGCGCGTGGTCAGAGTATATCAAACACTAGGGCCGGGCCCGATAACAATTCTAAAATAAACATTGCTATACGATGCGATAAAATATGTAGGATTTGAAAAAAATATTTTGAATTGCACTGCTGATAAACTGTTTTCGTGGAACTTTGTAAGTGAAACAGCTCGAGTATATCATTTGGTTACAACAAGCAAAAACCGGTTCGTCGACACATCACAGCGCTGCGTGGGCTTTTTTAATTAATGAGAACTATATAAATAGCGCTCACGGTGAATATTACTGAGAACGAATTGTATCCACTAGGATGAAGTTATATCATTTTGTTTAACAGTGTAACTACACAACCAAACACACTCAAAGGTAATGAGGTATGGGCGCGCCGGTTAGCGAGGCCCAAGATATGTTTTAATCGACACAATAGTTTCAGCATAGTGGATAAAAGATACTGAAATAACATCGATCCTACATGCGCCAAAGCTGGACACGTAAACCCCCAAAAACCTCAAATTAGGTGAAATAGTGACCATGAACCCCCGACCAAATGCAGTAGCGAAATCTTTGGGGCTTTAAGTTTATCATGTAAACAACAAAATGAAAGGTATCATAAGATAACAAGCTAGCTGCGATTGGCTCACCGTAGAATGTCACAAGCTTCTCAACATATTTACAAACGCACTAACCACGAGCCTTCGCGTACTACGCTCGCACCCACAGTTCTCTGTTCCGTGTCGGCAAAACTACATTTTACAAGCAACTACATTTTATGTATGCAAAAAATAAAAAATAATAATAATAAAAAACAAAAAACCTGTTTACACTACTCGCTTGTGATAAATAATTTCCCAGCCACGCCCACATTGTTCTCCTTTAGGGGTTTACCAATATGCATCCCCGACCTATATTTTATGCACGCGAGGCACCTGAGCAGTTTAAATATTACCTACTTTAATACCACCTTTCAAAGGGAGTTAAGAGTGATTCGCACTTTTGTCTTCTATATTTTTACTGTCCCACAGGGTCTCTCAGGATATTCTGTCTTTGAGTCTGCTGACATAAAGCTTTGCTTTCCTGCATCTCGCTTTGCGCTTTATAAAATTCATTTTGCAGCCAACTAAAGTAATCCAGTAACTGCTGTCCAAGAACGTTATGAACACGATGGTTTTCTTGTGGGGTTTTGTCGCTTGCGGGTTGCTTTTGTGAAGACTGACTCTTCTCATCTTTCTGTGAACAATGCTTGCCGGTCTTGGCTTTCACGATGTGTTTCTTATTCTGCTCTGAAATTAGAAGATGACCATTCTTCGCCATGAAGAAAAATACTGATACAACGTTAATTCTGCCAGACCTCCAAAGTCTTGCCAACCGAAGCATACACAACACGAAATAAAAACAGAACAAGTCTACTTCCAAAATAACCAGGACGTGATACGGTACAAAGGTCAAACACGTAAGAGTAGTCACGAAAAGTTCAAAGTTCGAAATGGAAGATCTATAATCAAAAAGCAACGCTAAATCCATAGTTATCACCGAGTGGAACACTCGCTTGGTTGACCTGGCGAAAGCGTCCGTTATATAAACCAAATCGCACAGGCAGACCATCCAAGAGGACAGTAAACTTGTGTGGTCTGTGTTCATTCTGGAAATCCACAGTCCCGTCAGGACAACATTGGTGACATAAACATCCCACACCTTGCTCATGATCACGGAAAACGAAGACAAAGTGAATTCCTTAGGAAATACCTCTAATTGTTTTGGTGATTTGTCTTTTAAAATTGGCCCAAAGACCAGACGAGTAGAATCTGGTGGAGTCATCGCTCGACCTTTTTCCATTGATGGCCAATGTAGTTTGTTAGGAAAACTGTTGGCGTTCGGTTCCATACCCGAATATAAATACTGTGAGTTGAAACTCATATCACGCAACATGCAACATGCCATATGAACGCCACTAAAACTGGACTCACGAACGGTGGACTATGGACGAGAAGATGTCGTATGTCACGAGACGATCGAGCTTCTCTCGCGGGGAATCTCACAATATTTTGAATTGTAAACATACTCTTTTTTGTAAGAATATTGTTTTTCCGGTCCAGGCTGAATATTTTTATAGTTCTACCGAAATCAAGCTGAAAATATTCTTGTAAATATTCATAATTTATAGCGTATGCCGTATGACATTTCCTTTCTAGAATGTGCTGGGGTATTTTTAAAATGTATTAGGCAACAAAGCCNTGGCTACCTAAAAGGGTTCTTTAGGCAAAGTTTCAGGATTTTCGATTTTTCTAACCTGGCCAGCCATTCTCGATATTTTCAGTCAGTGACTCTTAACTATGAGAACTCAGTCAGGAAAGCTACTTCATTAACGATAGAATCAACCCAGTTTCCACGAAACTTAGTTCCCTGGAAAGCCATTGGTGTTACAGTAGCATTACAATTAGGATGTAATGTTAGTTTACACGCTTCTTGTGGTCTCCAAGGCTACAACTCTTAGAAAAATACTGTAAGTAGCGTACTAATGGTCTCTAAAAGACTGAGTTGATGTTTTTACTACACATTATTATTCCTGTAGTATTCCACTACTTTCCACGAAAGCCTGATCCAATTTGCTCGGCTCGATCACAATTAATGTAGTCATGAGTAAGGCCTGCAAAAATACCCAGTTTACTTTACGTTGTAACTCCTTGGTAAGGAATCTGCGTCATCACCGCGTTGCTATGGCAACAACGATGCCATTTAAATGCGGTGACGTTGATTATTCACCCTTTGAACAACCGAGACATGATGTCCTCACAAGGTTGTGCTCCTGGTTATCGAAAGCAAGCTATTATTAGCACCTACATGCACCTGATGTCACATACTGACAATATGCACTGCCATCTCTCTTTATCGTACCTGCCTTCAGGCCCTCTGACAAGGTGATTTCGTAAGCTGTGGAACCAAAGCTGTTTGTAGCATGGCATACATACACCCCATAATCCTGTGCATCACGAGGCGTGAGAGCAATGATGTTGTTCATGATTTTGATGTCATCACCAACTGGGACCTGACCATTCTTTGTCCACGAGTAATTAAAAGGACTGTCACTGCTTGCATGGCAAGATAAAATACAGAGGGTTTGCATTTCACATATCACTGAAGATGGGGAAACGTCTTCAGCTGTTCTGGGTGGAACTGTGCGTCAAAAATGAAAAATCATCAAACTACAAAAAATGTCATTAAAAGAACTACACCAAAAACCATTTTTGATACTTATTTCCATACGTTCCTTTAAACATTTATCAAAAAAAAACCCAGTCCTTAAAGTGAGCGAGTGATATCAATCTCCGTCCATCCGATGTCATTTCACAATCTTTTACTGGACACATGTAAAAGACGGATTGAGCCAAAAGTCTACTTTCTCCAGTTCCATTCATAGTAATAGTTTAAGGTAATGTTATCGTGTTTTCCAGTCAGGTTTCACAATTTTGACTAGAAATTCATCAGTACATAAACATTTGTGTTTTTAGTGTAACTATATGCATAATGATAATGAACTCTTACCTTCAGCTCTGGTGAAAATTTTGGCGACCTTGCTGGGAACTCCAGCCAAAATCCCCTGAAAAAATATTTGACAATATGACAAAAGAGAGACCGGAGTAGCTTTTACTTTAACTTTCAGTGTTACAATCAGTGCACACTGACAGTGTTAAAATTACAGTGACTACTAAGGTTATTCTACCATGTAATGGAAGAAGAAAGTTGAAAAACCAGAGAATAAACAAATGAGGGAAAGCGAAGTTACAGGGCCAGTTCTAGCGGAACTGAGTGGAATGATAGGATGTTCGATCTACTAGTTAAAATAAAACCATCTCTTTTGTCTTCAGGCTTCAGAAATATTTTATCTGCATGTAAATTTTGCATATTCAAGGCTAAATGTTTGTCGCTCACATGCAATACTGATTAATAATAATTATAGGGCTTTATATTGTATCATTTATCTTTCATAAAAAGATGTGTTGATAATTCGACCTCTACATGTACTGCAAGTGCCAGTTGGGCTAATACTTAGAGCAATCTTTATCCTGCCGTTCTAGAAGTGAACTGTTCACTCGCATATCTTCACCGTCTCCACCGGTATTATTAGGGAACTTAAGCACTGGCAACGACGACGCTAAGGACGACGCCCAATAAAAAAAATTGGATTTATATTTTACCTTCGAATTTCGGAACTAACTGAACCTGTTCAGTGCGAAAATCTGTCTAAAAACCTGCTCAAACTAAATATGTAATGCCAGCGATCAATTCCAAAACAAAACGCGAAAAATTCGCGTTTCTCCACATTCTCCACATTCGCCACATTCGCAGAACTTGGTCAGTTCACGTTGTCGTTTAGCAGAGAACGGCAAAGAAATATACAAAGATTTATAATGCACGAGCATAGCTATTGTTCTGCTCATTAAATCGTGATAGCTTAGTTGGTTGAGCGTTCCACCGATATTGCAGAGATCATGGGCGTGAACACCATTTAAACTTCAGTGATCTTGCCTTCACTACACGACCGAACACACTCAGAGGTTGAGGCATGGGCGCGTTGCTCAGCCAGGCCCAAGATATGTTATAATTGTGACAATAAGCTTACAACAAAGTGGATAAGAGATACATCAAGTAACGTCCTACATGCGCTAAAGCCGGTAAACCCCAAACACCTCTTGTTAGGAAAAATAGGGACCGTGTGACCCCGACCAAATGCAGTGGCACCACCTTTGGGGTTTAAAGGTTGACTATATAAACAACAGAATGAAAGACAAACGCTAATTACACGATAAAAGTAAACCTTACGCGAAAGTGCTAGTGGCAAGGTTGACCGTAGAGTGTCACCAGTTTTTCAACCGTCTCTTTTTGCAAACGTACTACCCATGAGCCTTCGCGTACTACGCTCGCATCCAGTTCTCTGTTCCGTGTCGGCAAAAATATTAATTTCTGTCAATACCGATTATCACAAATTACGTAATTGTGTTATAGGTTTTGTATTCGCAACTGCTTTTAAGTTACGCACGTAACTACGATGATCTCTCGTCTTTAAATCTTTCTCCTGCTGAGCAAATGTATGTTTCTTTCATATACTCACATACATGAGTTCAATAAATCGGAACTGAATTAATTTACTTACGTCATTGTCTCGGGTCACAGCTCTTTGGAAGATGACATACGCTTCTCCTCTTTCAAGTGCTTTATTGACAAAACCTTCATACGTCTTGTCATCACCAACAGTAAATTTCCAAGATTTCTGGTACACTGGAACATTTTTAATCTCGGCAGTAATGTAAAAGTTCAGGTTTTCTTTGTTGGCGTTATATGAATCGTTCAATTTTGAATCATAATCGTCAGGAAGTTTTTCTGCTCCACCAACAACTTTCAGAACTATAACTTGATAGGCACTGAAATGCAAGAGGAGTAATAATATTAACATACCTTTGATTAAATGGAAGCCTCAGCAATTCTGGCCAAAAAGTTTAACGCAATCCCAGTGTTATCTATTATACCAATGCAATGCAACGGGATGCAATGTAGTGAAATATAATGTAACTGGTGTAAACTTGTAATAAGCTTAAACCGTTCCACAAACATGCGTGATTTTAATCTTCTGTTGTGGCAGATAATGATAACAATTAGCTTTGAGACAAGCAAAACTAATTAAATTCATCAAATTCGAAAACAAACTACAAATAACCTAAAAAAAAATGAAGCCAGAGCAAATTCGTCATAAAAGTAAATGTACTGGAAGTTTTGGCATAATGGTTGATGAGCCCGCAGGTGTCGAATGAGGTTGAAATAATCAAGCGCTCAAAAACATCAATTCAATCTTATCATTTTGGCTCACTATTTTCTGAACTATAATGGAACTAATGGAACTCTTACAAGCACGCAAAAACGGAAACTTCAAAGGGGCAACCTGAACCATTTACAAGTCAGTCATCCCCATAGCGACGGCTGGCGCAAAGGGCGTTAAAGGTTCCTCATAATTGGCTAAACAATGGGTAAACAGCACAAATAATGTCCCTAGCCCTAAGAACAAAAGAGGTCTAGTTTAACAAGAGCGAATCAAACTAGAGGTTTTGAAGAAGTACAAGTCAACTGACGTCAAATGTGACTGCGCTACGCGTTAGATAACATACATCTAAATCATATATATTTCTGGGTTCTTTACAACACATTCACATAATCACCTTATTGGACCATTCCTTTGTTCCACAGGCCACAGATAAATTCCAGCGACTGACTCTGAGACAGTCACATCAGTTACATTACCTTCAACTGGAGCTATCGGAGCTAACAGGAAAAAAAAAAGACATATATTAAAAGATTTGTGTGTCATTTAATCAAGTTAAACAGTAATACTTAATTTCAGCAGAGGAGATTTTAAGCTCATAGTTTAACCACGTAGAAAAAGGCCTCAGAGGCACTTATTAACCAAACATAAACAAGGATGGACAAGACTTAAAAAGTGAGACGGGTTACTTAAGATTTTGTTTTCTTTTTTAAGTTTTTATTCATTTTTTTTTAATTTCTTATTTTTATGAAAATGCACCAGCTCTGTCTTTGAGATGGACCTTTTCTGAAACTAATGGTTAGATTTGCATTTTTCGGAAGACATGCACTTTGAAAAAAATGAATGTAGTGAGCTACATGGTATTTTATGACAGAAAAAAGGAAATTACAGAATTTACATCAAAGTCTCTATTTAATACTTACTGGCAATTTTCGTTTCAACTTTCAATTCAATGGGAAAACTCTGCCCACAAACAGACGTTCCATACACCTGGAACTGGTAGATAGAACCTGGTGCCAAACCAATAACTGTGTATTTTGTTGACCTTTCTACATTTTTATCACCTGTGTCTTTAAATTTTTTATCGTAAGACTTTGTTCCACAGTACTTCACCTGAAAATTTGAACATAACAGATTCATTTGAATGTCAATGACACTGTATCTCAGAAATGCTAAAAGATACTTAACAACATTGAAGCAAAACCTCATAGAAAACGAGGGCGAGTAGTCTAATTGATTTAGTAGACACTCTAAAGATTACAGCTATAGTCAAAATTGGTAATAATTTAAAAATGAACTGATGAGTGCAAGTACACAGATGGGAATTTCCATTACTATCAAATCAGTCCGTTGGCAATTCCTCAGAAGTAGAAAGTTAAACATTGTTTAAAATCTAGAGACCGAAATAACTTTGAATCGTCATTTGACAGAAATTAAGTTACATTGTATGATTACTAGATTATTTGCTCTTGATATCTATGGGATGATATTTACCTCTGCCGACAGATTCATCAATGAATCTCAAGTTCATAGTCTAATACTACTATTAATTAGACATAGGAAAAGGAAGGTACATGGCGTTTCAGAAATTCTTTCACTGTTTTCATCAAAAATACTAAACATTTCAATAGAACTTACAATGTAGCTCAGGCCTTCCTTTGTGGTAACTTTTGGTTCTGTCCATTCAAGGGTCACCTCAGTTGATCCAGAGTTTGTTGCTCTTAAGTCACTGGGTGCTCCCGGTTCTTTGGCAGAATGGTGTATAACATGATTCAAAGACATGTTTTGAACATAAATGCTAGTTCAATTAAATAACATGAGTTGCAAGTTAGATTGGGGTGATGCAAAACTCTATCAAATCCTAACTAACACTGTTCGGGTACTTCAAATAATACTGGAAATCCTTGGACGGATTTAACTTACCAGTAGTAAACGCTTTCAGTAAAGGTAAACATGAGAGTCTAGCGAGGCCTTTTGACATGCTTGGGGCCCAAAATAAATAAATAAATAAATAAACAATTTCCAGGTTTACCCTTTGAGTATATACACGTACTAGCCCAAAAGTCATTCTCACTAGCCCCAGAAATTTGTCTCTCACAGTTCTTCTATAATTAGGATTTCCTAAACACTATTTCCCCCCCAAGAAACTTCACTTGCCTGTCAAGCACATGAAGAACAGAATACCCAAGCCCCAGGCTAATGAACATGGCTTTCTCTGGTTAAAAATTGTAACTGAAATGTTCTCATCGCCATGCATTGTACATGTAGAAGTATATGGACAAGCACATCATGACTGTACTCACTTGATGTTTCCAATACCCTAGGATGAGTATAGGGTCCAGGACCTGCTCTAGTGTAAGCTCTAACAAACACATTGTATCGGGAACAAAGGGGCAAATCATACAGGACAACAAATGTTACTGTTGTATTTAATGTTCTGCTGCTACCGGACGATCTTTTTCGGCGTTTTCCTCTTGATAACAACTTTTCCTTGACATCATACAAGATAACTTTACCATAACTCTTCTCTCTTGCTAGAGGCGCCCACGAAATCTTGAAAGTGGTTTTGTTGTAGCTAACAAATGAGACATTAGCTGGACCAACGCTGGGTCCTAACAAAAGGAATGTAAATAATAAACAGTTAGTTACAAAGAGANAGAGGTATAAAACAAAACAAAAGAGAATCACCCTTGGGATGGCAAGAAGTTGGTCATGGCCGCTTAACAGAGGTGGCCGCTGAATAGTGGTTTTTATTACAGTGTATAGCTGACAATTTTTCCCAGACTTTATCTGGTGGCCGCCAAATAAAGGTTGGCCGCTTAATAGGGGACTGCTTAATAGAGGTTTGACTGTATATGAACAAGTACATTATGATTGTACTCACTTGATGTTTCCAATACTCTAGGTTGAGTATAGGATCCAGGACCTGCTTTAGTGTAAGCTCTAACAGACACATCGTACCGGGAACAAAGAGGCAAATCATACAGAACAACAAATGTTGCTGTTGTATTTAATGTTCTGCTACTGCCGGACGATCTTTTGTGACGTTTTCCTCTTGGTAGCAACTTTTCCTTGACATCATACAAGATAACTTTGCCATAACTCCTCTCTCTTGTTAAAGGTGCCCACGAAATGTTGAAAGTGGTTTTGTTGTAGCTAACAAATGAGACATTAGCTGGACCAATGCTGGGTCCTAACAAAAGGAATGTAAATAATAAACAGTTAGTTACAAAGAGAAAGTACACTGTACATAATCATTTGAAATGATTGCCTCGAAACAGTTGATTGGTTGGCCGGTCAGTCTGTCAGTTAGTCAGTCAGTTCCTCCCTCAGTCAATCAGTCAGTCAGTTTGTCCGTCCATCTGTCCATCAGT